GACAAAAGATGTTTCTCTTAATGGCACTTTTTTCTTGTTAAACACTTGCCATTAAAGCCAAGTTCCATGTACAAAACTCACACCAACAGACTGTAAAATTGACAGATGTCTTTCTACATAAAACATAACTATTTAAAACTTCACGCAAAAAACGAGTTGCCAGAATTTATCTATACAGAAAACACTTATCTAACTGTTCACGGAGTAGACAATCAATCTTCTGTCTAACATTCAGGCAGGTAGTTCACTAATGGCAAACTTTTTCTTTAAAATATTACCACAGCTGTCTTCAGCAACTACTGTTACTTCTTCCCCTTCTTTGTGCAAAATTTCAAGCTCATCCTTGTGCAGTTTGAACTCTTTGGGTGGTGCTTCACTCAGAAACTCCCAGTGGTGAAAGACCACACCATCAGGGACACTACGTAGTTCAATGAGACGAAACCCTGGTTCTGCTTTCAATGTGCCACTGGAAAAATAAATGGGAGTTATTTTGTTGATGGAGAAAAGTAATTGAAAAAGGAACATTAAAGAATTGAATAAAATATTTTTAAAACTTTTTTGTTACTCACATGACATTTTAATACTTTTCTTTGACATGTCATTTTAAAACTTTCATTTGTTCTTTTCACCTGCATGCAGGTTTAATACAACAAATAAGGGCTGTTGCTTACTCCATAAACACAGGTGCTGCTACAAGGTCATTTGGACTGGTATGGTTCAGCCACCTAAAAATTAGACATTTCTAAAAGAGCATTTTTAAATTCATTTTTCTGCAAAAACAAAATTGAAAAAAATTTGGAATCCTCAACAATCTTCTAATATTCATCAACAATCACTCACTTGTGTATATTCATCTATATCTGTAATTCATGTACTTTTACAAGAAAATAATCATTTTGTTAACTTACCTGTGATAACAAAGCAGTACAGCAGAGGACCTAAACCAGTGGGCTCCATCATCCGCAAATTTGATTAAAGGTTGCTCGTGAGGCACGGAGTTCCCTGACCCTGTGTTTGATGATGGAAGCTGTGCAGGATGAGCAGCTGTTGGAGTAGTCACTGTTGAGCTGCTGTTTGAACCCGTCCCTGATGATTTACTAGCTATACTATCTGTAAAATCAAAACATCCTTTTTTACTTTTAACTTTCAGCACTGTTGTTTAACATTGCTGTTTCTTAGGACAACATATGACCTTCATTCAGACTTTGGTTAAAATAATCAAAAAGGTTGTCTGATGTTTCAGTAAGTATCTTTGTATATGAAGGTGGTACTGTTAAGAATAGCATGTGTCAGCCAATGCTTTACTTTTCTTTTTTACTGAATATGCCATTCTTGTGTGAAACTCAACTATGAGCTACAGCAAACTGTCCACTTACTCTCCCTACTGAGCTGCAGCTGTTTGATTGTGGCCCTCAGGTCTTTCTGAGTATTATGTAAAGCTGCAGACTGGTCAGCAACAACCTGAGAATTTACAGTGCCATCATAATTTTGTATCTTAACAACCTGAGTAACATGAAGTGGTCTAAACTGTGCCTCTATATGCACCACGGAGGGGGACTCTTTTGGTCTTGATGCTGTAGCCTAAAAATAAAAAAGACATAAGAACTGTTTCAGTGACAATTTTTTTAGTCATAATTTACAACAGAAAACTTTATAGCAGGTAATTCACAACAAATATTTTATAGCACATTCTTCTGAATAATGAGAGTTTATTTATTGAGAACTTATAAATGTCATATTTATCACAAGTCAAACCAGCTTACATTACTATAAAACAGTTTAAATTTCAAGATGTAAACCAAATGTGAATAAGCCTTACATACCTGTGTTTCAAATATTGTTTGTGCATTTTTGTTATCACTGAATGTAATTTGAGGGACTGGTCTGGCTCCTCTTAGAGTAAAAACCTTATTTAGATCATCAAAGCCTCGTCCCATTATTCCAGTATTGGTGTGGGCTAGATCAAATGTGTGTCCTAATTCATGCAAGGAAGCCCCAAGTCCAGTGGCATAATTTGCCCAGTAGAATCCCCTTTTAACGAAAAAAAAAAAACTCATCACTATATCAAAATGTTGAAAAGATTTGTTATCTTACCAGAATGCAGAAGTATACAGTTAGTAACATATTATATGATTTGAAAAACTCATAAAATTTTGGAAGTACTAATACAAGACAACATTTACTGTGCAACAATGCAATAAAAAGCTTACTTCATCATTTTTAATATCCAAAATCCCACCTGTATGCACTGTCATCCATCAGAAGTGTCCTGTCAATTTTCCTGGAGTCTGTAAAATGACTCACAACTTGATCTAAACTCTCTGCCCAGGTGTGCAAATTGCCTGTCCCAAATAAAGCCAAGCCACCCCCACCTATGTGAAAATGTTAAATAAAACACTTATCAAGAAAAATAATAAATAGATTCTTCTCACAGGTGATGTAGGAAATAGTGCCTTCCTGTAGAGGACAGTTCCCATACTTAATAGAAAATGTCCATCCTTGTAAAAACAAGGTTGGTCATAATTGACAAAAATTCACTATGATTCTATTATAATCTTTATATTAAAATTGAAAATATAGCTTACTCCTCATGGGAATTTTTTGGAATTACATGAAACACACAAGAGATGACTACTTCCAACAGTGTGAAATAATTAACAATAAATATGCTATCAATAATCAAAACAGATACAAATTGTTGTGATGACAGTAAGAAAGACTGACAAAAAAGACACACCTAGTGCACAATGACCTCTTGTGTGCTCTAGAACTTCAGCATGCGTCTTTGGAATGGATCCATCTCGTGGAGGGTTGTACCTGGTGAAGGACATGAAGGCATACCACTTACAGTTCTCTTTATTAGGGAAGTCTGTCGTCATGAGCTCCTTGGCAAAGTGCTGCCACAGCTCTCCTCCCTCCTTGCTCTGAGCCTCTCGGAGAGTCAAACTGGTGGTGACAACATGGCAGACTACCTGACCCTTGGAATCAGTTTCTAGTTGGAATGTTCTGCGCCCTAGGCTGTGTTCATATAGTTTTTCAGCAGTGAAAGTCTGAATGAGTTGGGCACCAAGTACGATGCGTTTTTGAGCACTCTCTGGTGAGTTGTCTTCTCCCTGTGGACCTTGGAAGCAGCCATTGTCGTCACAGCACCTGATATAAATTGGCCGAACAAACTTTGCAAAGTTTGGGCACTTGTAGATGAGAGTATAACTTAAGGTATCTTGGTTGGTGCATGACTTGAATTTAATTTTATTGATTCCTTCTTGTAACTGGACCAAGGCTTTGAACTGACCCCCCAAAACTGGCCAGGAGATAACTTTACCTGTAAAGAAGACAGTGGTGATCAGTAAAGCAAAATGAAAGTAGTATTTCAGGCCCGCAGCCAGCAGTTTCAAAAAAAAAAAAAAAAAAAAAAAAAGGGGGGGGGGGAGGTCTTTTTCTGAAAAATTGGACCTTTTACCACAAAACCTGCTTGTACTTAGACTATCAAATTGTACCGAGAGAGGACCTTTTCCCAGCAAAAAGAGCAATTCATTCTAACCCCCCCCCCCAAACATTCCTGGCTATGACCTGTATTCTGCATAACCAGTAATTAATTTTTCATAAAATAAGTATTTCCTAAAACCTTTTATATGTTTGTAATTCACTGTTGTTTGAAAATGTATACATCTTTATTATATATATCATCAACCGAAAGCAATCTTATATTTTCTCCCTGGCCTACCCTGTGTAGTTTCATTCCACACATCAATTGACGTGTCAGCTATGTGAGGTTGTTCTTGTTGTACTTCTCCAATAAGAAGAGGTAGAGCATAAGAGATACTTTCTCCATCTGTGAGATTGCACACTCTGATAGGCATTACTCTTCTGCAGTCAGACAGATCTCCTGCAGTGAAGAAAAGACCAAATGCAATGGGTATCTGTTCTTGTAATAGAGGGCCACGTTATCTAACATGCTCAATTTGATAAAGAAACAAGAAAAATCAATACAACAGATAAGTCAATGTGTTCTTAAGAACCAGATTTTTTGCATTTTGGCAATCATAAATATGGAGTGAAGGAAACAGAAAGAAATGCCTTATGGTAATATAAATTTTCCATGAGGAATAAAACAGAATTGTTGAATAAGTTTAACTTCTGTATTCCAAATGCATAATATTCATAAAATCAAGACTTACCTCAGAATTGCAAACATGCCATTATCACATGTAACAGCAGAGCACTACATGGTATAACTCTCCACAATTGTCTTCATGCAGGAATTGTAACCTGAACAGAAATTATACAGGGATAAAACTGGATACTTTATATACAATGAATCAGGAAAGAGCAAATGCTCTGAACTTGAAAGCTTATCGCTGCTTGCAATTTTCATTTACTAGGTGAAACATTTTCAAACCCAATTACCATAACGGTGGTGACCATAATCATTCAGCACATACGTAGTAACATCCATTATTTATATGTATGCAGAGTACATGCCCTACATTCTTGATTGACAGAACATTTAAAAGAGGCCTAAAATAATGTATAACTGATGGAAAAACACCAATCAATACATTTCTGATATTGATAAACCATATCAATCATATACATGTACATATATTTAAAAGTGTACATGTAAGCAGGCTAGGTTATTCAACTGGACAATATTGATTCCTGATGTTATTCCTGCATATATGGCTTCAGCAATATTTATCCAGAGAAGAAAAACAGATTACACAAAGCACCAATTAAGGCATCAATAAGCTGCGATTGTGCCTGGTTCAAATAAACATTGTGATTTTATAGACGACTAATGGCATTACTGCCATAATAATATCCAGAAAAAACTAGCTGTTCCTTCAGGATTCGTATAATTCCCTAAAAGCTGCATAAACTGGCAATGCCAATATTAACCCAAGTCATCTTTAGGCTCTGGACTTCTACCTCCGTTATCACTCAGTAAGATCTAGATTTTTTCAAACTGATCACCGAGTTACCCACGGTGCACACTTGTACAACGTTAATTCTTACAGTCGGCATGACGTCACAAGATGGCCGCCACGCCCGGACTAGGGTAAAACAATCTGTAAGCTCCATTACTCCCCATGTTAAAATGATCAACTTTGATCGTCTGTATCTCTCACACCAGTAGATAATTAAACTTGACAACTGTTTAATTATATCAACATAGGTATTTAGTGTCAGGAAATGGCCATCAAGGACCTTTTCTAGCATTGATGCCGATTTTATCAGTGATTGAAATGCACCTCTCTTACACTGTAATTATATGAGCTGCAGTTACAGTTCTGATTGTTTTTCAGGTAAGAAGTTCCAATGGCTTTGTTATCGGATGAATCTGTCCACTGACAGCGATTGAACAGAACTTACCTGGATCCTCAAACAATCATAGAGCCCTTTGAGGTGGTTTCATGGGAAGAAAGTGATCTTATCAGTTGGTGTCATTGTAGCAAATAGAACTAAAACAGATATGATCTTCACAGGTGTGGTCATTGTATTTGTCTTTGAAAAGGGGGGCTGAAAGAAAGCTTTAATGACAATTTACTAGTCTGATTTTATTACTGAAAGTACATGCCATTTTGAGAATTTGAACAATTTTTTCTAGTAATTTTTTAATACCCATGTTGCTGCAGACAGAATTGAGATCATGGACAGAATGAAATTTTTACATACTCAATAAATCATTTAATTATTGTACTATGAAGTGTGTAAATGGCAATAATGTGCTATTGGAACAGATAAGTAATACCTTATCTTTGTGATGTTGCACACTTTCATCAAGAGGATAGAACGCAAGAAAGGCTATCAATGCACATACTCCAGTATATGAACNTCATGAAATACAAAGAGACTGAGGTGATCTAGTTGCTGTTAACAAATGATAAACAAGGAGGAATTAAAAGAATTGTCCTTGCAGATTAATAAATCTTCAAGTCGTATATTAAGAGTTGAAATATATGAAGTAAATGAATTTCAATATTGAAACACTTTTTAATTCTTGTACAGTTATTCTTACCGGCTTCATCTGAATTCCAACCCTCCTTTACAAGAACGTAGTCAGTTTCTATACCATTAGTGATTGGATCTTTATCTTCATCATATTCCTTTCCCAGTAGCCTCTTTCTCAGATGTGTTTTACCTGCACCGTAATGGCCTAGCAGCATCACCCTTGCCCTCTTCACTCTTTCAAAGCCATCCTTACATGCTCGTTGATATGCTTCTTGCAGTAGTGGGTCTTGTTTATTTATTTCCTCTGAAAACTGATCTGAAACATTAAAGCTGCATTTTTAGTCATAGTTCTGTTACAAAACTCAACCAAACATCACTATATTGTTTCAAATACAAAGTGGATATTTAAAATGGAATATTTCAGATCCACAAAATCAAAACTAAAGATGGTATGAGAATGATATAAAATGTTTAACAAGAAATGCAGTACGCAGCCATACATATGTCATTGGGATAGCTGGTTCCAAGTGAACTTCCTATGTCCTCAAATCTCTAAAATAATCATTTTTCTATTTTAGTTTTACATGGTAGTTATCAGTGGCATACACATCTGTAATGTATCATTACTGGTATCTGACAGGACACATGCACTGTGCAGATGTTGTAAATTGTACTGTTATTGCACAATAACATCCTCAAATTACAGAGATAACAACTGTTCATTTTGCCTCCCCCCCCCAAAAAAAAAAATTTTTTTTCCATACTTACCAATGGTTAATGAATTCACTCCGACATTCAAAGTTAGTCCCCCCCCC